TAAGCAATTCACGAACAACTCGTGAATGGTTTGACTCATTTACAATTTTACACTCGTACCTAAAACACACACATATAGAAGCGTAGAAATAAAGAGTCATGATGAACCATTTCCATAATAATGTTCATTGAGGGATGGGGTGTGAAAGTTGTGGATATCATTTCACTAGATGGTTTATACGGAACAATAAATTTGAAATCAATCCCAATTTTAACAACGTAAGCTATTCAAACCAATTAGTGATTGTTTTAGGAAAACAACTAAATAGCGGTGATGACAAATGAACAATAAAACTAGAAGGGAAGTAGTGACATACAAGGGTAAGGGGTAAATGGGAAAACATGAGAATGATTCTTGCAAAAAGATGGATAGATGTAAATTCCCTTGTCACTCTCATAGTCAAGGGAGGACTAAGAGTTTCTAAAATGCTGCTCTCATGATCCATAGCTACCCAAAGTCATGCAATGAAGACAACCAAATGTAATTCCTCACATTCTCATGGACGGGAGTTCGTGTATGTGTGTGTGAATGTGTCAAAAGGAACCATACAAGTCTCCTTGAGAGTCCAAATCAATATCTAAAGGCAATGTGGCCATCAAAGCATTGGAATTTCAAGTAAGCATTTTCACAAACATATGGTGTGATAAGAATATTCTCAAAATCTCCCAAAATAAAATATAAACCTATTAGATCACATGGTTGGGTGATCCTTCATCACTCTCAATCCCAAATCCTACTACTCTCTCATGATAGAATCAACTCAATAAAAGAAATTGAAGGAATGATCATGAAGCAACACATAGAGGGTAAATGGGCAAAAATATGACAAAGATGCAATGTAATGGACTAAATGAAATAAGAGAAAGGGTTTGATGCAAATAATACTTAGAAATGTAATAAAAAGAGTTGGGGATGCTAACAGCCAGAAATAAAGGGTTTGTGGGAAGAAATCTCATCCAAAACTATGAAATTCTCGGAGAAAATTATATTTATACTAGTGGCATACAGATGAAGGCGAGATGAATCTCGTCGAAAACTTGATTTCTGAGGAAAAGATGAATGGTGTTAGTAACAGTAACTGGAATTTGTTCCCGGAGCAATGCGGGAGGAAGGCTGTTCCCTGGGGCTTTCCTTCACCTCGGACGCTGAAAGAAAAAATTTGGAAAAGGAAAGAGGGATGTCGTGGTGAAAGATGTTCCATTTGATGTTCATTTGGATGGTTATGTGCAAAACTCGACTGATGCCTTCAATTCTTACTTGTTACTATCTCGAATACATTGTGATTACAACGCGAGTTGGTCTTCTATTCCGTCGTTGTACCTCGACTCTGGTGACGAGCCGGTTTTCTATTTTGGCAATTGCACTGTCACTCCTCGATGAGGTTGTCTTCTTCTTTGCCGACTACACCATTTGTGACTAGCCGATCTTATACTCTAGCTATCACTTGCACTTGGAATCCAACTACGAGCCGATTTTGTTGTTGATTGTGCAACCACTCCGGCGACGATTCAATCTCTACTCTGTCGTCTACACCGTGACTCTGATGACGTGGCAGCCCCCCCCCCCCCCCCTTCTGTTTTCTCTAGTCATTTTCAATTTGAAAAGTGTCACTTTAAAAACTAATGTCATTTCAAGCTAGCAATATTTTTCTTTTGAAAATACAATAATTATAATGTTGTGTTTCTCAGTCTAGGTATATCATTTTGTCAAATAATATCATTTTTATGGCACTATCTCTACCAAGATGACAATATTACTAACGATTTTCTCATTTTATGTTTTCTTCTTATCCTCACATTTTGATTTTAAAAATAACATAATTTTTTAATATGAAATTCCTTTACAAGGATGGCAATAAACATTAACAAGTCATTGGTCAGCTAACCCGTGTGTTGTCAAATAAAGATTTTTTTTCCTTAAAAACAATTTATCTCATAAGATAATTCGAATTTACTTGGTGTATGAGCATTTATAATATGATAAAAGGTTGTATTAAAGTACATATATGGTAATTATTAGGGATTATTCCCTAAATATTACTCCATGCTAAATTGAAGTCAATTTCCATAAATGTGACCACTTTTATATATTGACAAAAAATGTTACTAATATGGTCATATATTTGGAAAATGTCACTGCAAGTTTGTCACTACCGAACCTTTATGTCACTATGATTTTTGAGAATAGTTGAATATCAGCCAACACTAGCAATTGAATGTGAGACAGACAAGGTTTCGCTAGATAATGTGGTTTCCAACAACTGTGTGTTGGATCTTCTGCCTCTCAATGGTATCAATCCACCATCATGTGAGAATGAGCCTTCCATTTCAGGAACTTTGCTTCAAGTTGATATTGAGCAGTCTTCATCTTGGAATAACTCACTTGAGTTGACTTCTATTGAGCCCAAAGCAGATGATTTTGTTAATCTTAAGGAATTCTTTCAAACTACTTTGACGGATGGAGTTGCGACACTCTCATTTTCTACTTCATGAATTTGAAAGAATCATTACCTCTGCTTTGAATAATCAGGATAATTTGATTGCGACACAATCTCATGAAAAAGAAGCCACGAGAAAGGAGATTCTTCTTCAGACAGATGCTCAGGAGAAGTTTGGAGATTCAGAATCTAGTGGTTTAATGTTTTATTCTGAAGCTTGTGCTGACGAGGGAATTTATGGAGATCCATACTCTACACCCGTGCGGGATGAATTTTTTGGTCATATTTCGGAGAACGAGAAAAGAATTCCTATTTCGACGGTGGGGGATCTATATGATTCAGATACAAATCAGGATATTTGCTACAAAACTATGTTTGTAACGCGAGATAACTGCTTGCCTACACCGAACTTGAACACTCAAAAGGGGATGTATAGCAAAAGGAATCAGCGATCACACCTTATGAGGACAAGATCTCAAACACGAATGGAGCTCTGATGATTTGGCAGAGGGCATAACATTATCTATTTACTAGGGAGGGGTCTTTTGTTACTCATTTGGGGTTGGGTGTTTATTTTCTTTATTTAGGTTTTTTCTTATTTTTGTTTTTCAGTTTTTTGTTTTTTTCCGTTCTTTTGTGTACTTTCTTCTCGTTTTTTAATAAAATTTCTTTCACAAAAAAAAACAGAGAAATAATGTTTGTGTTATGCATAATTTAATTTAGTTTATAAATTAATTTGCACATTCATTGTTTGTAATAATGTAGCTATATTGAATGATGATAATATGTGTTTACTAGTTATTAGTAGTAATTAACTTTTATTTTTAGATAACTTAAAGATTTTATATTGATAAAACAATAAATATTCATCTCAACTATATCACATAGAACGTATATATTCATGAACTATTTTCTAACTACTCACAGACAAATTAAATCAATAATATATACAGTTTTATCTATCTCGCATACTTATATAATTCAAAACATATTTTATCTCTTCTCATTTTTATTTTATTTGTTGTTGTATTGTGCTTGCATTCTTTATGTAATATGTTTGAACCCTCTAAATAATCAATTTTAAATCAAGTGAGATTTTTTTGGTAAAAAACCGAAACTCCAATCAAATCGTGGTTCCAAGTTTTGGAGTGTAAAACCGAACCGAAACCGAACCGAACTTTTTACTTTGATTCTATATTTGGTTTTAGGGCCCGTTTGGTATGATGTAAAGTAAACACTTTGCATGCGAAGTGTGGGGAAGTAAACATTTTACACCGTTTGTTTTAATTATTTGATGTAAACTGTAGGACACTTTTTTTAAAACATTTTACACTGTACTATGCAAAATACTTTACGTATGGGGAGGGTAGTAAACTACTTTACATTCATTAATATGATTATAAAATATAATACTCCGTATTTCCGTAACAATTAAATAAGGAGAAAACTCCTTCACGATTAAAGAATAGTGAGTGGCAGCAAAAGGAAAACTTGGAAGCAATAAACAGATTTCCATCCTATTTAGCATATCACCAAATTAATACGTCTGCCCTATTGAGATTATAACTACAAGATTGATTTCTGCACTTTCGGATTTCCATTTACTTCATGATAGTTTCAAGATTGATTACAACAATAATCTTGTAGCAAGCAGTCAAGCACGATAAAATTACTGTTATGTCTCAACAAGCAAGATGCAATGTGTCATACAGATAGAACGGTAGAAATTAATCTCTGATTATGCTTCGGAAATCCAAGTTGCTAGAATGCTCCCTTGCATTATTGCTGAAGTTAATTTCTTACTCGAATATGATGTGCTTCACACGTACGTATTTGCCAAATATTTTACTAAAATTATTTCTAAGCAAACATAGTAAAGACTTTGCGTGTAATTTAAAAATAGAATAAATATGTAGCCAAACGATGTATTTTTATTTTACACGTAAACTAATTACTGCCCCTACACTTTACATGCAATCATTTTGCATGTAAAGTTTTAATGTGCGAAGTACCAAACGAGCCCTTAGGTCAAAACCGCAAGAACCGAACCCACCCCTATTTCGTGGTGCACTAGTGTATACGAGATGAAATATGAACTTATTTCTAAGTATCTTGAAAATGTAAAATGCTTCAATGACATGAATGAGTAAACGTCAGAGGATAATATATGTCTATTTTTTCAAAAAAAATTGTATTTTAATATTTATAAATAGACCTCTGTAACTTTTAATATTTATAAATATATCCCCATAACTTTTAATATTTATAAATATGGTTCTGTATCCGTATCCTACATTTTTTGGTTTTGTCGTATCCCGTACGCGTTTCCGCGTACCCGCATGGGTGCTCAGTAGAGTATGAGTACAGAGTAATTTTCATTTTTTTTATTTTTCGGAGGTAATACAATTTTTTTTTAAATGAGATCTGGTAAATAGGTACACCAAAATCACTTCTCCCAAACGGCATCTAAAACCTTCCTTTTCCGATTGGCCCTCCATAGTCATCCCACATGGGCACCTAATCCTATTGTCTCATTTTTGTCCCCTGAAAGTGCGATGACAGAGCATTTCCTTTAAAGCTGCTCCTACTCCTGCCGACACACTGACTTGACTTTATCCCAAATTCATGCATTTCTACCCCCAAATAATTAAAGCTGCAATGCCATAAAATTTTTAATAAACAAACAAAAATAATTGAGCTACGTCCTTCTTTCCTCCTCCCCATATTTATTAGTCAGTACTCTTATTATTTAATTCCAACTTGCTCTGCCCAAAATTCTGCAATCAATCAAACACAACCTACCACCCACCTTTACCCAGAAGAAGAAGAAAAACTCCCAAGCTCATCAGAAAAAGCAAGGTTTTTTTTTGCTTGTTTCAATAATCAGCGGAGAAGAAGATGCCTTGTGATCTGAATCTCAAGGCAACCGAGCTCCGGCTCGGGCTGCCCGGCACAGAAGAAGAAGAGTGTGTGACAGAAATGGGGTCAAGCCTGAAGAACAAGAACAAAAGATCCCTTCTTGCTGAATCTGGGGATGAAGAAGACTGCGAATCCAAGGCCAACAATGAAGGTGCCAAGAACTCCCCTGCTTCAAAGTAAGCCCACTTTCAGATTCCTGATTTTATGGTGAAAAAACTTATTCTTCTTCTTTGGGTAGTTATATTTTACATAAATGTCATTTGGTCTTATTAATTCTCTTGTTTTTATAGATGAGGTAGTTATGAACATTAAGATAGGTTAATTAGAGGTATAAGCGGAAATTAAACACTAATTACATAGAAATTAGATTATCTTTGTGACTTGTGAGCGATTTGCCGATTTTGATACTTAAACAAAGGAATTAAATTAGCATGTTCATTAAGATCTTGGTCATATCTCCTCTAAACAAAGTAGTCTCATTCCCACACAGTTTTAACTTTTTTAAAAACCGTACAAACCCAAAAAAATAAACATCTTTTGAGTGCGTAGGGTTTTTAAGAAAGTTAGAAATGTGTGGGACTGATGCTACTTTGGTAAGAAGAGAATATGACAAAGAAACTATTGCAACCACAGAAAGAATTCGATTTCCATAATTTTGGGAGGGATGAAAAGTAAAAGAACAATTTGAGTTGATGAAAAAGATTCTTGATTTTCTGGGGAAATTATGTGAGTGTTCAGTTTGTCACATTAAAAAAATCATATTTGACCTCACATAGGCAGTGAATTTCTACAGTTGTTTTGTCAAGATTTTATGGCTGAAACTCAGAGGTCAACTGTTATTTTTTATTGTTAAGTTTATTGAAATTAAAATGATGTCAAAGAGTGATTTTGGTTTGCTATATGTCATGATTAGCCCTGTTGATATGAGAGTACATCTTAAAGTATTGAAGATTAGGAGGTCTCATTTACATTTCAGTTTTATATGTGGCTGATGTTATTCTATAATTACAAACGAGCGTATAAGATATTGGACTAATCGTTATACCTGAACTTCAGGATAGAACCCAAAGTATAAATAGTTCGATATGTTAGGTTTATCTAAAGTAAACGGTTTTCTATAAAGATTAGACTAAGCTAAATATGAAATATTAAACCCCCCCTAATACATGTTAAAGGATGAAACTTAATACAAAGACTAATAATGTGGTTGAATTGATTTGCAGGGCACAGATAGTGGGATGGCCACCAGTGAGATCCTACAGGAAGAACAATCTGCAAGTGAAAAAGACAGATTCATCAGAGAGTGGAATGTTTGTGAAGGTTAGCATGGATGGAGCACCTTACCTTAGAAAGATTGATCTCCATGTGTACAGTGGGTACTCAGATCTGCTGAAAGCATTGGAGACCATGTTTAAGCTATCCATAGGTCACTACTCTGAGAGGGAAGGCTACAAAGGCTCTGAATATGCCCCTGCTTATGAGGATAAAGATGGTGACTTGATGCTTGTTGGTGATGTTCCTTGGGAGTAAGTTTTCTCCTCCCCATCTTATATCTCTCCTTTTTTCTCTACTGAACCTAACACTTCACATTGTATCGAGACAAACGAACATATAATCGTTGGGCTACTTCCATATAACCCGAGTCTTAATTTGTTTCTATCTAAGATGGAACACTAAATCTTAATATGTTATAATCTACATATTAGTGTAACTAATAGTGTGGGTATGAATTGGCAGAATGTTCCTGTCATCGTGCAAGAGGTTGAGAATAATGAAAGGTTCAGAGACAAGAGGTTTGGGTGTTGGAAACTGAAGATCCAGAAGCCAAAAAATTATAGGAAATGAGTGGAATTTGAAGATCTCTTCTGTCTCAGGCAGGGAATTTATCAAGATAAAGGTTCCTTCTTTGCAAGATCGGGTTCTCGGATTTTCAAGAATCTCAGCTTAGTTGCTGTGAAATGTTTTCTTTTTGCTTTTTTGTATCGTGAAAAAACAGTTTCATGGATTGGTCTTCTTCCACTCAAGAATGGAACCAGAAGAAACCAGTTATTGTGACATTATTATTGTTGTTCTTGTATTTGGGTAATTTCAATTTTTTGGTCGTGTAAATGTATGTTATGATCAGGATAAAACCTGCTTGGCTTTCAAAAGATGCTGTGATGTTTTGTTTTTGTTTTTGGGATAACATCAATGAACAAACTAAATAATCAGACAAGGTTGGTGGCAATTGTGTGAACAAACATAATTGTACAAGTGAGGTGTAATTGTGTAAATGGTGCTATATTCTGAGTATCCATTTTAGTGACCTAGCCTACGGGTTGACTCGTTCGGGTTCTGATTCTGGGTAACATGAAGGGGGATTGGAAACCGTAATTGGGTAACCCCATTTGGTTTTAGTTCTTGGATCGATTCTAATTCCAATTTAGAATGGGTTAGTGAAAAGGACAATCAATTATCATTATACATAGTATATCGTTCTATTAGATTTAGCCATTGTATTCTATCACTTAGTAATATGTAACAAGCTTTCTATCTTTACATCTTAGAGTTATAGTGGACCTCTTTATTTTCTATATAAAAGCATATAACTATATCTCTATCTCTACACTTGTATAAGCATGAATATTGTTAGGGGTATAGGAGTCATGAGAAAAATGTTGGTTGCTCTTGTGTGCATTGTAGAGTTGTACCCGATGCTTATTCAATGCATACTTGGACTGCTCAAGCACAATAAAACATGACGGAGTCACTTAACTTCTCGTTCCGTTTAGAAACCAGAGTATGTATTACTACGATAGTATATTTCACATGTTTGGGACCGATTATTAAACATTTAAATCTTTCCCCTCTCAATCTAATTCCCACTTGATCGTCTTCTTCCTTTCCTTGCGCCGCTGCTGTTTGGGATGAGCAAGCACGGTCAGCTTCAAGGACATTTGAGCCGCTCAAGCCCATATGATCCTCGGTCATGTCAGGCCTTCGCCCGCAGTAGTTCTGGAGTCAAAAATTGGCCGTTGTTGAGAACCACCGTGAAGGCCCTTCGGCAGTTGCTGCGGCTGGAGATGGAAAGGAGAGGGACCCTCGACTCTATCCTTCAACGAGTGACGATGGATGCTCTGCCATTGTTTATCGAAGAGAGGTATTCTCAGCGAGGACACTTGCTACAAAGGTGGAGGGGAGAAGTGAGGAGCAACTGGCGAAATAGTGGATCGAGCTTCGAATGGTCTCTGTTGGCGGGCGGTCAGCTGAGTCCCACTTCGAGTTTGGCCACTGCGGCTGCGAATGCTATAATCCGGAGCAACGGCATCTACGAGATTTGCAGCTATGGCGGCAGGAGGTCTAAAGTCACTGGTTACTCTTCCGGCTTGGGTCTGGATATTTTTCAAATCCGAAATTCCAGGTTTTGATTTTTCTAATTGGGATGAATTTTTTAATGTTTTAGGAGGAAATGATAGCTTATGGGATCCAATCTATGTAGTACTACGTATTAGGTAGAGATTGATTCAAGAGAAGGAACAAGATGGTGAATAGTGTATTAAAATGTGAATATTAAATGTGAATTAAGGTTTACAATGGATGGTATATATATAGGAAAACCCGGGTTATATAAAATGATTGATAATATAAAAAGTTAATCTAGAACGCCCAAATAATAATGATGTACAATAATAGAAATCCTATCTACAACTAATCCGCTGTTCAGGCCTAATATTCATGAAACCGGGGGTTCGAGTGCATATACTCCGTCGATCAATTAATTTATCAATGCAAGTGTTTGGATCCTTCACCCACTGAATTCAAGAGAATGAAAACTAGATATTTTGTCTCAATTACTTTTGAAATTTGTCTTCTTTCTGTTCATCATTTGTTTCTCTAAATGCAAAGTGGAAGGGTATGTTATTGAAAATTAAATGCCCAGTTAATTCTAATTTCGTATTTTTGAGTCACATAGCTCTAACATATTGCTTATTTTGTTCCACTTCAATGTTTAGGTTGGAAAAATTGTTCATGGTTTTAAGCTAAGCCTATTCCGCTTGGAAGGTAAAGCTGCCATCCTTATCATATTATACTATTGTGTATAAATTTTTATTATTCAACTTGTGTTCCTCCCTTTATCCTTCCTCTTCAACTATCCATATATGCCTCCCTATGAAAGTTTATACTTGAATCAAATAAAAGCGAAAATGTGAAATAAGAAATGTGAAGTAGCTTCGGTTGAAGGCTCGAATTTTACATTTCACACAATTTGATTTATGGTACGGGGGAGTGAAACTGAGAAATAAGAAATGTGTGATACTTTTCACCTTTTCCCAAATGGATGTTAATCAATAACCACTAAAATAAACTCTAGAGACTTTATTTGTTGTTGATTGAAAACAACAGAACAAGTAAAAAACATTCTAATTAAACGGCTGCATGTAGATGTTAATCAATAACCACTAAAATAAACTCTAGAGACTTTTTGTTTTATAAAAAGAATATGTTTTTATAACATCTTCGTTTTACAAAATAACGAGCCTCTTTCTTTCGTGAAGCTCCATCAATCACATTCCACAAATACTTAACGGGCAATTACAAATCAAAAGACATACATAAACTTGAATGACAAAATATGTCAATATTTGACCCTATCTGAACATTGTATGTGGCATGTGTCTCTTTCTTTTGTGAAGCTCCCTCAATCACATTCCACAAATAATTAATAAGAAATTATAAACCATAAGACATATTTAACTTTGAATGACAAAATATGTTAAAATTTGACCCTTTTGAACATTGTATACTCGATCTAACACCCCTAATTAGATTAACTATAGTACATGTGTCTGTTGGGTCAACTTTGTCGTTAAGAATCACATTTGTTTGTTAGTATGATGACCAATTATAGTTCATTAAACATTTTAAGTGAGTTCGCTTGGACTATGCTATGTATAAATTATCTTTTCTATTTCATACATGATCTTTGTCCTTTAGTTATAATTCTTGCACTGACCAGTCTTATGGATAACGCCTCTCTACCTCTCTTGGTTGGCATTTTCCAAGTCGGTTAAAAGCAACGCCGGCCAAGCCCCTTATTGTTCCTCGCCACCCATCCTAGGCCTATGTTGCCTGACCGTCACTCTCGTTGTATTTACTTTAACCCTTTGGGAAGGCCTATGTTGCCTGACCGCCACTCTTGTTGTATTTACTTTAATCCTTCATAGGCTTGGGTCATTTCACGAGCATATGTTTCTACGATCTCAATCTCTACTTATTTGAATTATGCTACAAATCTCCATCCAAGATATTCTTTATTCATTTCTTTCTAATTGAACATAACGAATGACAAGCATACAAAGTTGGAATCATATGAATCCTTTTCGCCCCTATAGAAAATATTATCAAGAATCCATACCCCTAGTGTTTATTTGACATTTACATTGATTGTAATAATCGATTTGACAAAATGGAAACATTTATATTTACTTTTTCTAGAAATATGTTCTTTTTCTATGTTGAAGTAGTTTATTCTTATTAGTCATATATTCACCCATACTTTCCCGATAAATTGATATGCGTGCAATAGCCTTGGACATTTACACGAACGCGCATCGCGCGTTAGAAAACTAGTTGTACACAATATAGAGAATATACATATTACATATTGATGAACTCTCATGTTGATGAACTCTCTTAACATGACAGTAAAGCTAGTAGACAGTGTACATTTTCTCACACATAGTCATATACCTTCTTTGATACATTGTTAACAACTTGATGACGATTATTAGTCTACTATGTCATCTCTTTGTGTCTAAAATACTCCAACATGTGTACTGGGATTATGCGCAATAGTATGGAATCACGACTGTTTGTCATATGGACCTTTAGGTTGTCATGCCCCTCTCCTTGCCACAACCAATGCAACATGGTGCACCAAGAGTTGCTCCTGTGGTGCCGCTACGGACATACCATCATGCCAATAATCATGATTTGTTGATTTTGTTCTTTCAGTGCAACTGATGGTAGTTCATCACCATATGAAGGGATTCACGATATCTTATCGCATGCCAAATCAACAACTTTCTCACATTATTAGATTTTAGGAGTAGAATAGGGAATACTTTTCCATGTATCATTGAGTAAAACAAGAGGTGTTTATATACAAGTTTGATCATTAGCTACGGCCTATAAACTAAGCCCTTGGCCCATTTACATACAAAGTGCTATTTACAAAAATAATTAGATGACCCATACGGGTCTAACACCCTCCTCAAGGTGGAGCATGGGGATAAAAAATGTCCAACTTGCAAAAAGATAAAAAAGTTGCCTCTTGTCGAGAGCCTTGGTGAAAATGTCAGCAAGTTGTTCATTGGTAGAAACATGGTGATCAACAATCAAACCCTCCTGAAGAGCATCCTGGACATAGTGACAGTCAAATTCAATGTGTTTCGTGTGTTCATGAAACACCAGATTTTGAGCAATATGGAGAGTAGAACGACTGTCACAATAAAGCGGCATAGGACGGGAATGCGTAATGCCCATACTAAGGAGAAGACCCTTGAGCCACTTCAACTCCGCGGTCATTGCTGCCATGGATCGATACTCAGCTTCAGCAAATGAGCAAGATACAATGTGTTGTTTCTTGGTTTTTCAGGAGATAAGTGACCCACCAAGAAATATAAATCAACCAGCGAGAGAACGACGAGTAAGCGGGCAACTAGCCCAATCAAAACCACACCAGCCTGCAAGGGTCAAGTCACAAGACGATCGTAAAAGAATGCCTTGTTTGAGCACCTTTTGAGACAACGAACAACCCGAATGGCCGCATGCCAATGGTCCACTGTGGTGCCTGCATGAACTGAGATACAATGTGGATGAAATATGCCAAGTTAGGGCGAGTAAAGATAAATAGATAAGCTGACCGACAAGTCTTCGGTAAGATTTTGAATCAGATAGAAGATCACTCGTAGAGAGAGCCAAGGCATGATTCTGCTCCATATGAAAGGTCACCGGTTTAGCACAAAGAAGACCGGACTCACTAATGATGTCCAAAATATATTTGCGCTGACACAACAAAATACCTTCAACACTCCTTGCCACCTCTATGCCACGGAAACACTTAAGAGCACCCAAATCTTTCATGTGGAAACTCGTGCTCAAATAGGATTTAAACTTAAATTATCAACATATATCAGGATATTTAAATGGATAGACTCTTGCCGAAAGGAAAATAAGACTGGC